TTTGGACTAATTTGACTAATCTATGGTTTGGACTAATTCGACTAATCTATGGCTTGGACTAATTTGACTAATCTATGGTTTTGACTAACTTGACTAATCTATGGCTTGGACTAACTTGACTAATCTTTGGTTTGGACTAATTCGACTAATCTATGGTTTGGACTAATTCGACTAATCTATGGTTTGGACTAATTCGACTAATCTATGGTTTGGACTAATTTGACTAATCTATGGTTTGGACTAACTTGACTAATCTTTGGTTTGGACTAATTTGACTAATCTATGGTTTGGACTAATTCGACTAATCTATGGTTTGGACTAAATTGACTAATCTATGGCTTGGACTAATTCGACTAATCTATGGTTTGGACCAATTCGACTAATCTATGGTTTTGACTAACTTGACTAATCTATGGCTTGGACTAATTCGACTAATCTTTGGTTTGGACTAATTCAGAAGTTAACTGTTCGATCATGATGTAAAATTGATGTGATGGACACATGGCATCACCTGCTGGAAGCCTCCACAGACATAAGAAAGTTAATATGGGGGGGGGGGGTGACAGACAATGTGCCAAGAGAATTTTCATACATATGGGTACACTCTAATAAGTATATAAAACTATAAACATTATTTAATGAAGTAGTAAGTAAATGCTGTGTCAAAACAGATGATAGTGTAAGGTTTATCAGCAGAAATGCACTCCATGGTTCAAACTATGTGATGTATTATGTGTACGAGGTGAATATATGTAATATATAAGTAATTTATATAGTGACCTTGTAGTTTTGAAATAATTCCTCTTATTATGCAGGGTCGATGACAAGAAAATATACAGAATACTCACAGTGAAAGCTGACCTTGACATCAACATTGCTAACATCTTACTGGCTTGAATCTACGATAAAATAACATTATATAGTAATCACTACACAGCATGTTCTTGTTCTTGATCCTGTATTTGGTAACTCGTCAAATACGACAAATATTTTCACAGTGTGCCCTCAACTATTCATATATCACTAAGTATGTTGACATTCTCGCCCAAATTTGTCGGCACCTTTTCCCTATATTCTTCAATATTTCTAGAAATGAACCCAAATTTTGGGACCAGACAAAATTTGAGTCAATTTTCTGTATCAAAAAATTTGGCTATTTTTGTCCTAATGTTCTGAGGGAAAGTGCAGACTATAAACGGGACTATTTTGTGAATTTGTGATGAAAAGATGGAACTGGTGGTGAAATGGTTAAAAACATTACTGGCAATCTTCTATGAACACAAGAGAATCCTTATCAACGCCATACAACAATCAATTTGTATCACTGTAATTTTGTTCCATACCTTTCGATATAATTGAACTCCATCTTTAACATATTTAACCAGTAAATCAGCGAGATACCATCCCAATTCCTGAATTACACAATCAGTCACAGAATGAGTGAATAAAACTGCAATATGAAAACTAATCAAATATCATTCAATTAAATAAACAATGCTGCTCTTTATCTGCATCACCTTATTTGAGCAGTATTCTGCTCAAAACCACAGGCAGGACTGGTGTGACATTCATTTTTTTCTGATTATATCATTATCATCTTAAACAACAGGAGAAATTTTACAGATCCGATGGTTAATATTTTCATACTATATCCAAACAGAGACTCAGTAATGACGTGTTACCACAAAAAAAGTTGACAGTTTATATAAAGTAATGACACTAAATCATCACTTACTGGAAGTCTTTCAATGAGTTCAGTAAAAAGTACAGGATGGAGACGACTTTGACGTTTTGATAAAAAATCATTCAATGCATTCCTATAGAGGGCGATCACTCTCCTCACATCAAGAATACCAAGAATTTCTTTGTTGTCTCCTGTGTCTTTTGATTTGGATTGTTTGTTTTTATTTTCTCGGTGTGACCTTGTTTTTACAGGAGACGGTTCTTGTACAGCGGTGTTGCCTTTCAATACCCTCATCTGTAAATAAGATTTTCATGTTGGTGACAAATGTACAATGAAATCATCAACAAAATATAAAATGAAAGGTTTGAAATTGATGATTAATAAAATGGCACTTTCTTAATGAATTCACTGTTCTATTTTGTGGCGTGAGGGACTCAACAATACAATATGTGTGAATTAAGTGTGTTAGGATGCAAAAATGATACAACATTGCAAGATACGTACCATAAAAAGGGTACCAGCAGAAACCAATGACACAAAATGCACTGATGGAGCTGCAAGGAAACAAAATACATGCATTATCTAATATGGTATGCCACAGCAACTGTGGTCTAAACCAAAGACCATGGTATAAACTGATGACCATGGTCTAAACCAAAGACCATGGTATAAACTGATGACCATGGTCTAAACCAAAGACCATGGTATAAACTGATGACCGTGGTATAACTTGGGCCATGGTATAAACTGATAACAATGGTATAAAATGATGACAATGGTATAAACTGATGACAATGGTATAAACTGATGACCGTGGTATAACTTGGGCCATGGTATAAACTGATGACAATGGTATAAACTGATGACAATGGTATAAACTGATGACCATGGTATAAACTGATGACCATGGTATAAACTGATGACCATGGTATAAACTGATAACAATGGTATAAACTGATAACAATGGTATAAACTGATAACAATGGTATAAACTGATAACAATGGTATAAACTGATAACAATGGTATAAACTGATGACCATGGTATAAACTGATGACCATGGCATAAACTGATGACCATGGTATTAACTGATGACCATGGTATAACTTGGGCCATGGTATAAACTGATGACCATGGTATAACTTGGGCCATGGTATAAACTGATAACAATGGTATAAACTGATGACCATGGTATAAACTGATGACCATGGTATAAACTGATGACCATGGTATAAACTGATGACCATGGTATAAACTGATGACCATGGTATAAACTGATGACCGTGGTATAAACTGATGACCGTGGTATAAACTGATGACCGTGGTATAAACTGATGACCGTGGTATAAACTGATGACTGTGGTATAACTTGGGCCATGGTATAAACTGACAACAATGGTATAAACTGATGACCGTGGTATAACTTGGGCCATGGTATAAACTGACAACAATGGTATAAACTGATGACCATGGTATAAACTGATGACAATGGTATAAACTGATGACAATGGTATAAACTGATGACCGTGGTATAAACTGATGACCGTGGTATAAACTGATCACTGTGGTATAAACTGATCACTGTGGTATAACTTGGGCCATGGTATAAACTGACAACAATGGTATAAACTGACAACAATGGTATAAACTGATGACAATGGTATAATCTGATGACAATGGTATAATCTGATGAGTAGTATAAACTTGTGATATAAATACTGGTAATTGTTGTATAAAGTTGTAACCAAGGTACAAACTGATGACCATAGTGTAAACTGGTGCGCATGGTATAAAATATTAGTACAGAGGATATCACAGTTTGCTATCATCCTAGTGTACGCCACTAGATGCTTACCTTTATAAACTAACTGAATAAAATCTTCAATATCTTGATGTAAATCTTCACATTTTTCATGAATACTATGCGGGTACTACAAAACAGTAAACAATGAAAAGTGTTAACGATGTTTGACTTTTACAACAAATGTGATACATGGAAATTGAGATGATATATAATTATCAAATCACGATATCATGGATGACTAAAAACAGACCCCATGCTAAACAGTAAGACATTTAATAAAGGTCACAGATCTAAGTGGCATGGCATTCAGAACTTTCGTCTTGCATGTGATGCTGCTTAACAAGGTTGATAGGTTTAAAATTCATTCATACTTGGAAACAAAATTAAACCACTTTAGACTATTTAAGTTTTACCTTTCTCATTCGGCATAATTTATTTTTATAAAGTGCTGATGCTTTTTCTGCCAATACGTTTTCTTCTTTACGATTCAATGCAGGCTTGATAGTCAACAATAATGGATGGAGTAAGGACTGAAAAAAATAATATAAATGATATCTACAGTTGAAAGCATACAAGGTTATTAACAGCGTTTCAGAGAAAACAAGACGAGACTGTCACAAATTTACAGATGTAAATAACATGTTGTCTGTTCAATCACACAACTTTTCAACATCAAGAGTCCAACACATGGTTTTGCTTGAAAAAGTTTAGAAACACCAGGAAAGATAATACTAGGCCATAAAACAAAGTGGAGTGAATTATATTTAAACAAGCCATGCATAACACAGTTCCTGTTCGTTATCGAATTTAAGATTCATTAATACAAAATGGCCACTAGTCGGCCATTTTAAAAATAAAATGACGTGCATCAGGAATCGATGTCCAATGTATGTACCAAGTTTGAAGAAAATCCATCCATAAATGCCAGAAATGCTTGATATTTGATGATGTTTTAGCACAAAAACGGCCACCATTCAGCCATTTTGAATGTATCTGTATATCTATGACATGATTTATAATGAATATTTTATATTTGAACATAATCAGTCTAAGCAAGTCAGAGATATGGCACTAGAACCACATTCATTAAAACAAAATGGCTGCCAGTCGGCAATTTTGAATCTTACATGTATCTGAAAAACAAAATGATGTGCATAAAGGTCCTATAATGTCCAACGTATATACAAGGTTTGAACAAAATCCATCTATAAACAGCTAGGAAATGCTTGATTTTGATGATTTTTTAGCACAAAAATTGCCACCATTGGTAATTTTTAATAGGATCGTCAAACCAATATATCTGTATATCTATGAGATGATCTATAATGAATATTTAAAATTTGAACATAATCAGTCAAAGCAAGTCAGAGATATTGCACTAGAACCACATTCATAAAAACAAAATGGCCGCCAGTCGGCCATTTTTAATCTTATCCGAAAAACAAAATGATGTGCATCAAGGTCCTATAATGTCTAACGTATATACCAATTTTGAACAAAATCCATCAGTAAACAGCCGGGAAATGCTTGATTTTAATTATTTTTTAGCACAAAAATGGCCTCCATTCGGCCATCTTGAATCAGATTGATGTGCATATGAATAATATCATGTATGATGTGTGAAGTTTGATTGTGATTGGTCCAGGCATTTCTAAGATACGGGTCTGGACGCACGCACGGAGGTCCGAACAGGGACTAATAATGAGTGAAATAAGGTATGGATTACAAACTCGGCATGTGTAGTTTGCTATTTACGTTTAATGTGAATGTCGGCTGTCAAACTCCTCCCATGATGCAATTGGTGAAACAATGAAAACCTTAGTATTCAAGATAGTGATAACTGAAGAAAGCGACACTGATTATTTCAATCGCAGCGAGTGACCTCCTCAATCAAGAAAAGAAGAGAGAACTAAATACATACCAGTACTAAGGGATTGGCAGGTTGTCTTTTAATAAAAATATCCAGTAAATCCAATACTCTAGAAAGAAAATTACAGATTTGTATGTCACAATGAAATGATTGCATTCACATACTGCCTTTGTCAATCATACAAGTGAATTGACAAGCACAGAATATCCATGTTATACAGTTTTTCTTGTCCCGTACAAATACTGGTACACAAACCACAGTATGCTTTATAAACACCAGACACTCAATCAGCGAATAGACTCTGAAGGTAAATGGGAGGCGAGATTTCGCTGAGAGGAAGACGCCATGAATCCTGTTTTTGCCCTTCAAATATTGTTCAATTCTCTCCTGTCCTCACGTCTACTGATCCAATTACCATGGTTACATTAGTCAGGAGAACAGTGAATGCAATAACAAAGAATGAAACACTATTTGAGAGAAAATAACATAATTTGCGCCTCTCTCACTCATAGCAGGATCTCGACAGCCATTTTACGTCCAAAGCCTTTTCACAGCAATGCAGCACTGCGATACATGTGCGAGCATGAACAGACATGAACTTCATAGAAATACCTGAGTTTAAAATGAATCATCATTTTCTTTGCCTGTATCTTTTCTTTCTTCATGTTTTTTGCTTTCAGTTTCTCTTTGAATGCTTCTGCGAGGGCGTCATCTAATTTGAACATCTGACTATCACTCATATCACTATTTTCACTGCCAGAATCACTATCCTTGAGGTGGGAAACAATCAGGAAAACAATAACATGAAACGACTGCTGCTTATTCTGCTACAAATACAATGTACACCATTATATCGTAACATGAATGTGGGGGTTAATCCTGGTCATAGGGTCGTAATTTTTGTTAAAGGAATACAGCAAACAGTTTTAATTTTGCAGGAGACTTATTTTACAAGATAAATCTGGAAATGTTGTCACAGTGAAATTTAACTTTGTTTCAGATATACACCAATTTTGGCAAATCTTTTCTCACAAGATCCATTAAATCATAAAAATCTGGAAAATTCTTAGCAGTTCACAATACTAGTTTACATAAGATAGTAACACCACAGTGGTCTGTCATGATTAATAGTAGTAGTCAAGACTAGAATAACTGCACAACATTTTAAATACAATATTGAATTCATAAGTGGGATTGAAAATATAAATCCTTGATATTGTAAATTGCATTTTTCATTGTATATTTGTATAAATTATTATATTTGGGTAGTTTATCTGAATTCAAATTTGCACAACTGAGAATGTTACCTGAGCGTACATGCAATGTATTATGGGAGAGAGCTATAAAGGTAAATTCACTATGAGTATGATTGAATGGAGAGCATGAGTAAGCGCCATCAATTCTAGAGAAGCAAAATGTTAAAACTGAGGTAGTTAAGCAAACTCGAAAACAAGTTTGCTAAGATCTGCAAGGTAAACTCACTTCATCTGGCCTGATAGCTGCATCACCCAATACTGCCATTAATTTAGAACGTAATTCTTCATCTACTTCCCCAACAGGTTCCTCCTCCTCTTCTTCCTCCTCATCCTCCTCTTCTTCTTCCTCTTCTTTTTCCTCGTCAGACTCCTCTTCTCCTTTACTTCCTTCCTCTTCATCACCCACGTCACCATGGTTACCATTAGTTTGTTCTTCTACATCATCCACATCTTCTTCCTCTTCAGAATCTCTCTTAATTTGAAGATTGCTTTCTGAATCACTAGATTTCTTTGGATCTAACACCTAGACAAAGATCACACAATGGAAATTATTTACAGAGCTGCTACATGTATACATGATGTGTAAGCTAAATCAAGTATGAGACACTGGTCAGAAAATGTTGTGAACATGACAATCGACAATGTATCAATCATGACCAAATAAGGAAATTTGAAACCAGGTCCAAGTTTTTATAATAATAATTTTCTATTTTCTATTAATTTTAATGGCACATTAGTCTGGAACCATTTAGAGTGCCCTTCCCAGTGCACTTAAGAATGGCCAAGTGAATACAGACGGCACAGAATTCTGTGTCATAACTGATTTTCTGTCTCCATGACTTTAATACATTACCATGGAAACTTGCATGCACAGAATGACCCATATATAAGGCCCACCCAAAGCCTTTTAGACTGATTTATTAGTCTATTATTTGTAGATTATTAATGATAATAGACAGCATCTAGTCCAATGGCACATGTACAACAATAATAATCCTATATTCAAAAATATTTTAATGGTAGGCAAACACCTGTAATTAACCACGGTTCCACCAAAGTTATATCTATTAGTGAATGAATCTGAACAATCTTCTCCAAATTGTATACATGGCATACCATACTTGTAGATGTAACACAGTGTCTATTAGGCTGTCGTGATTGGTTTCAAACGAAGTACAGGATTAGTTCAATCAGCATTAATACAAAGCAGAGCAACATAAAAACATTACTTACATCAAGTAGTAACTGCAATGCTTCCTTCGTCATATGCGGACAAATTATTTTGAAGACATTATCCACCACAATTCGTATGAGATGAGACGACTGTGATAATAAACTCAACAAAATCTCTGTTACAACTTCAATCCATTCTGGTTCGTCTTTTTTTCTGACTGATCTCCTTTTCTGTAGCGCTTTTTTCTCACAGTCATGCAACTCCTGTAATAATGTAATATATTCCAGTTTACAGGAATGAACTACCAGTTAATAATGATACAGTAGTGTAGTACATCAATAATCAACAGAAAATGTCTGATACAATGTTTGCCCAGGACCATATGAATTAGTGTGCCCTCAAACAAGACTTGTTTTTAAGGAATCTCGAGACAAAATGGAATCCCCAAAATGAATATGAGTCAGCTCAGTGACTGCCATACTCAAGAATAAACAAATATTGTACAGAGCTTTAAAGAGCTTCTGCAACACAAACTAAACTCTTGTGAATTTCCTTTGTTTATAAAATGTCATTTAACCAAATTACAAATTCATCAACATCATCAAGATGTTTACTTATATCAATGTATAAATTTGTGAAGCATAACTGACTGCACTACAAATCTCTGTACCCCATATCTGTTAGAGATATATGTTATCATATTTTCTCTATATAAATAGTCAGGTTAAACAACAAGAATGATACCTACCATCAACCACAATGCCAGTAAAAACTAATTTTTGTAACATTACATTTTATTAAATTAATCTTTTTGAACAGACTTTTTTTCTGCAACTACTTTTTTAAATCTGGACCAAATTCACATAAGAATGGTTTCATATTCTGATCTTTATATTTTCAAAACTAAAGCCATGATTATTTCTCAATATTTCAGCATTTCTGGTTGATTCAGTAGCAAAGATACCAACATTTCAGTTCATTTTTAGGGGTTGAAATGTTCTGGCATGTTAGTATTTGTTATTCAAGTGAAACAAACATGTTTAAACTCTGAAACTAACCAGCAGATATAATAATAGTTAGCATTCATAATAAATTACAGTAATGAAGTGCAATGCCCTTTTACCTGTACAATATCCATGGCCTGGGTAGAATCAGTAAATAACTGCAAACCAATGTGTAAATACAATAACTGGAAAGCATATGCCTCAGACAATTTCTTGTCTTTTGATGTTTTCTTGTGTAGTTTCTGCACAGCGGTTATGATACCATCCCAGCATTCCCTCACCTGCAATGACACAATAACAATGATGGACTGACTGACAGAAAGCAAATGCACACACAAACATAGAGGGCGCTATTGCTTACATGGACACAGATTCAGAGATGTTGAGTTTAGATGTAGCCTGACAAGT